TGTCCCTCTATTACAAAGAGTCCCGTCTATATATATGTGGCTCCACCCAAAAGAAAGAAACTTGGACAACAAGGCGCAAATAAATCGTAAACCCACCCGTGCGCGCCCGCATAGAATGTTTGTGCGCCCTCTCAGCGTAGTGCGCGGCCGCAACTTTGAGGGTACGGGGAAAATGAGCGCGCCCGCACATAAGTCCTACGCGCCCGCGCATCAGGTATGTGCGCCCGCACACAAGTCGCGCATAAGGTCGCGCAAACTCTCTGGTTTGGCTCTCTTTCTTCAGTCTGGTTGTGTGGGATCTGACAAGGCTGCGCGCCCACACAGCCTCACATGTGCGCCCGCACAGCCTCACATGTGCGCCCGCACAGAAGCCGCACAGTACCCTGCGCACAACAGATAGCTTGGTTTCTTGATATCCTCTTTCTTTCAGCACATAATACCTACAAAACCAAAGCATGGAAATCAGAATAAAAATAAAGCGAGAAGACTAAGAGAAGGGAAGATAAGGGAGAAAAGGAAAGAGGAAGTAAAACTAAGTAAAAATGCTTAGGAAAAGGGCCAAACAAGTGCAAATGAGGGGAGAATCCTTAGAAAAAAAGGATTGGCTTAGAGTCTGTAACATCGCCTTCCTAGTCTTATATGTCAGTGACATTTTGCTTATTGGAAACAACATTCCATTGTTAGAGTCTGTAAAGGCTTGGCTTAGAAAATATTTTTCAATAAAAGACTTGGGAGAGGCTTAGTACATACTAGGCATCAATATCTATAGGGATAGATAAAAAAGGATGATAGGATTGAGTCAAAGTACTTATATTGATAAGGTACTAACTCGATTCGGCATGTATGGAGCAAAGCGAGGCCACCTACCCATGTCGCATGGCATAACCCTAAGAAAGAATTAGTGTCCAAAGACACCTGATAAGCGAGAAAGGATGAATAAGATTCCATATGCTTCGCTTATTGGATCGATCATGTATGCCATGATATGTACTAGGCCAGATGTGTCGTATGCCTTGAGCGCTGCAAGCTGATACCAATAAGATCCAGGAGAGGCGCATTGGACTACACCCAAAAATATCCTAAAGTTCCTGAAAAGAAACAAGGATAAATTCCTTGTCTAAGGTGGCAGATATAAATTAGTTGTTGAGGGTTATACCGACGCAAGCTTCCAGACAGATAGAGACGACTTCAAGTCACAGTCTGGGTATATATTATGTCTCAATGGAGGAGCGTTTAGTTGGAAGAGTGCTAAGCAAAGCACAACTGTAGATTCTGCAACTGAAGCCGAATACTTAGCAGCATCTGAGGCAGCTAAGGAGGCAGTTTGGATTCGCAAGTTCATTGAACTTGGTGTTATACCCTCCATCGAGGGACCAATAGACCTCTATGGTGACAACAATGGAGCTATTGCTCAGGCTAGAGAGCCAAGAGAACATCAAAAGGTCAAACATGTCAAGCGGCGGGTTCACATGATTCGAGAATGGAAATCAGAGGGTGAAATCAGAATTTGTAAAGTTGGAACAGATGACAATGTAGCCGATCCACTCACTAAACCTTTGCCTCAAGTGAAGCACAATAAGCACATTGAGGCAATGGGAATCAGGCACATTGGAGATTGGCTTTGATTTCCTTATTTTAATGTTTTAATTAATTTTGGACAATTTTAATGTAAAGCACTATGATGAATTATTCAATTTTTGGAGTAATTAAATTTTCATGCAATTTAAATCACTCCGTTGACTAGTTAATTGTGGTTTAGAATTAAATAATGAGTCAATTCGATTTTTCGAATATTCAAAATAGGGTATCAAGACCAGTCTCGGTAAGGAAACACCTATTAAGTGAACGTTTAATATTATAATAAAAAATTATCCCTAATCGAGGTCATTTAAACAACGGACGATTAATGACCAGTTGAGATTAGTGCGTAGTTTGATTTATAGCACCGTTTCATGTGCTACAAGGACATGATTGTCATGAATCATTTGCACAGGTATTGGTTAGAATTATACTGGATCGACCAATGAGAATACTTTAAGATATTAAAAAATTATCATAAGTATACTTCTTATTATTGCTATCGGAACCTTTTTCCATGACCATGAGTATTGTGAGCTTTCTTGTTTGAGTACTAGTCCGCTTTGATGATTGTCAAATGTCTGTCGTAACAGGGGATTATAACGACATCACTCGGGCGGTTAGGTCCTCTTAGTAAGAGAACCTACATTACAAGACTGAAAATGTCCCCCTATTAAAATTAGGGAAGGTGTCTTTGTTGTTTACAAGGCCTCTCGTAGTGCGAGACTGTAAAAACGCATGGTCGTGCTTGGATGGATTTTGGAAATCATCTGTTTATAGACAGTCAGACTTGGAATCGAGAAACACTTTTGGACGTAATAAGGATGACAAAATAATCTTACCTTATAGTTCATGAAGAGGCATTGAGCGACATAAGAAAAAGGTTATACACTAAAAGCACACTTGTCCGGAAGGACAAGTGGGAGATTGAAAGGAATAGTGTCCTTCGAACAAGTGTATTATTCTGATAGTGGGTTCAGAATTATTAGAAAGCTAATATATTCAGTAAGGGCAAGTGATCGGAATGCCTGGGTGGAGGCCGCTTCCGATCAGTAATGTTATTTCATAATTAATATTACAACTTAATCTTGACTAAACCCTTCGGGTAACACTTAAGAGATTAAAAAACCGACACGACGAATTAATTTGAAGGAATTAATGAGTCGCCCGAGTAATAAATATTTAGACGTCGGAATTTCGAGCTTAAAGTGTCGAAACCGAGCGTCGGATGCCGAGTCGAAAAATAATAAAAGACGAGACGGCAAAATGCGGTAATAAATCAACAATGACCAAAATACTCCTAGCATCGGAACACCGAGTGCTAGGGGGTTAGCCAAGCTAGCAGCCCGCACCTAGTGCGAGGCTTGTTAGCAAGCGACGGCCAACAGCCCGTACTTAGTGCGTGGCGTGCTGGCACGCTGCAGCTAGAAGCCCGCACTATGTGCAAGGCGTGCTAACAGTGGCCCTCGGCAGTAGAAGCCCGCAAGCATGTACGTAGGCATGCTAGCCGAGAAGGCTAGCAGCAGCAGCTTGCCTTGGTGCGCGGCTTGGATGGGTCGAGTAGCAAGCAGCGACAGCATGTGGGAAGCCCACATGAGTGGGTTGGAGGGAGGTGCCAAGTGGCGCAAGGTGAGGTAGAGAGTTGGGAGCAAGTTTGGTCCCCCCCTCTCCAAGTGGTCCTAACCTACTCCCTCATATGTAGTTGACAAATGTTGATTTATTACTAGCTTGCTTAAATAATTTTATTTTGCTTTCAAAAAAAAAAGTGAAAATCCCATTATCCCACATTGGTGGGAGAGACACTCATACTCTCATCATTTCCTATAAATACCCAAGTAAGGGCATTGGAAATGATGCTTGAGTAAGAGTTGGAAAGGGCATCACTAGTAAGTGAAAACCCTTAAACTTAAGAGTTGGAAAAGGTATCACATTTAGTGAAAGCCTTTGAACTCAATTACTCGGGTTTTATTGGTCGGGTCTTGCTAACCCAAGACATTAGACCTTGTCGCTATTCGTTGGTTCGGGTGGATCAATGTTGGAGGCTTCGTGTTTTAGATGCTAGCTTTCAAGTAAGAGCCCATTCGGTCAGGCGAAGCATGCTCCAAAAGTTAATCGTTTTATCTTAATATTTTTATTACTTTAATTTTTTTTATGGTTTTATTTATTGCGAGTGCGGTCTTGTTTTGGGTTTGTTTCTACGGTGAGTCGGACTCACAAAACCCCAACACCTTATGTGCAGACAAAGGAATGGAGAAGATCTTGGCCAACAAGAAGCTGGCTGCACATTCTGCAGCCTACTACTGTTCGTCCATCTTGGGCAAACGGTCTAACGAGAATCAGCCGACAGGCGAAACTACTAAGGTGAGATAATTTCCCACCACTTGGATTGAGATTTCTTGAGATCATAGGTTCACTAACTTGTGTATTCTATGCAGGGTGGTTCGACTAAACCTTTTCATATGAAACATCCGGACCCAAAGCTTTAAAATGAGTCGGGTGGCAATGTTAGCAATTCTGGGAAGCCCAGGAAGCATATCTCCCAAGCCTAGGAAGGCTTATGACGGCTCCACCTCACCAGGACGACTCTAAAGTCGGATGCCCCCAAGGGGGTCAAAGAGTGGCAAGCCAGTTAATACTGTTGTCGGCTCAACAACAGGCAGAAGCAAAGTCGCCCAAGAGGAGGAGGCGGAAGGTACAACCACTCGGACCATTTCTCAGAGTGATTTGATGAAATAGTAGTCGCCCAAAAAGGCATTGAATCTTTCTGAGCGATTGCTTAACTAATGTTGTTTTGATTTAGCAGAGATTCCGCAAAGGCCGGCTGTCCTTCAGATGGCCAAACAGATGCTGAGGGCGCTTGATCCTTAGGACAAGGCGTTCGTGAGAGGAGTAGGCACCCTTGACCTTGACGTCATCTTGGCGCTTCTCTGTGAGGTAAGATATCTGTGATTTTTGTTTGTAATTTTTCACCTTGGGTGATTTTTATGGCCGTTTGGTATTGATCATTCTTAATCACTACTACAAAATTGGCCAAAGACCTTAAGTAAAAGACCATATAAATAAATATGTGGTCTCTTGGATTTAAGAGACCAAATATTTCAAATAAATGGTCTCTTATGTATAGTTTTAGATAGATGAAAATGGACCAAAGGCCATCTATTTTAAATAAGTGGTCTCTCTTTCTTTTTAATTAAAAATTTAAAAAAGAGAGACCATTTATTTAGGAGAAGTGGTCTCTCCTTTTTTTTATTAAATAAAAAAAAAGAGAAAGACCATTTATTTACAAAAAGTGGTCTCTCCTTTTTTTTAATTATAAATAAATTAAAGAGAGAGACCCTCTATTTACAAAAAGTGGTATCTCCTTTTTTTTAATTAAATAAATAAATAAAAGAGAGACACCATTTATTTACAAAAAGTGGTCTCTCCTTTTTTTTAATTAAATAAAAAAAAAAAAATCATTTACTTTGTAATTAAAAGTAGGCTGAAAAAAAAGTAGGCTGACATTTTTTTTACATGTATTTTAAAGAGACAAAACCCAAACCCTATTTACATTTCCTCTAAACCCATATCCCCACCGTTCACCGCCTCTCTCTCTCTCTCTATCTTAACAGCTGAAATTACTCTATCCTAACATCCGAAATCTTCGCCGTCGATGACTCCTCCATCTTCCAAGGAGGCCACTCCTAAATTCACGGCTTTCGCTTCTCTTCGTTTTAAATGTGGTAATTTTTATAACTTTTGGGTTTATTAACTTCAGATCTTGTGGGTGATGTGAATTTTAGAGCCGCGAAGTTTTTGTTGCCTATTGGCGGTGTTAGTGGTCGGTCCTGCTGCCGGTTATAATGGAGGCGCGATTGTTACATCATCTCAGTTTGGTGGTTATGTGGGCTGTAGTGATGTGGATGCGACTTCTATTGGTTTGTGGGCTGACAACAATCTCTAAGCCCCTTCTATTTCACATTTCCTCCAAAACCTAAGTTCCAATTTACTCTCTTTCTTTGTAAATTATCCAAATTTCAAACTTATTAATTGTTTTAGTTTGTCGTTTGCCAATTTTTTCAGGGTTTCAAGACAAGAAAATTAAGTTTATGGTGTCTCAGCGAAGAAATGGGTCTGACCCATCTTCCAAGCCTGGGTACTGCATTTTTCATAATTCTTCAATTATGAGTGTATATTATTTTCTTTGATATTTGTTATTATTTTCTTCAATTATGGCTGATTTGGGTGTAAATTGCTACTGTTTTACTGCTATTGCGGCTCGGTGGCCAGTTGTACTGTTGCGGTGTTAATTTTTTTTGTTGTCATTTAAGTTTTTAATTTCTGTTTTTGCTAAGTTAATAGCTAATTTAAAACTTTGTTTAATATTTTTTCGTAATAATTGTGTGCTAATTTTGTTATGTCTTTGAAAATTTTTCAAGATAAAAATTGAACAATAATGATTTTTCTTGTTGAAATATTCAGTTGGCGTGAGATAGTTATGCGTGGAAGATATGCTTAGAAGGCCTTGATTTTTGCATTAATGAATTATTTTTTGTACATATGAATTTTGTATAATTTTGGATAGAATATTGATTGTAGTATTAATGAGTTTTTTAGTATTGGTTTTGTATAAACTATGTGTATAATTTTTAGTATTAATGATTTTTTTTGGTTTGATTCAAATTATATATATTAAAATATGAATAATTTTTTTTTTAATAAAAAAGAAGAAAGAGACTATCTATTTGAAATAGGTGGTCCCAGTTTTTGAAAAATTGAGACCATTTAGTTGAAATAGGTGGTCTTAGTTTTTTAAAAATGAGACCATCTATTTGAAATAAGTAGTCTTAGTTTTTGAAAAAACTAAGACCACCTCTTTTAAATAAGTGGTCTCACTTTTAAAACAAGAGATCACTTTTGATGAAATGGACTCTTAGGCCAAAGAGACCTGGGAGCTAGAGACCACCCCAAAGGTAGTCTCTTTGGCCATTTTAATATGGTCTCTTAGGCCAATTTTGTAGTAGTGAATGTTGGTCGAATGCACGCTATGTTGCGCGATAGAGAGCTTAGAAAGCCCCTCAACGATAAGCCCAAAGAGGTAAAGGCTGCTAAAGCTCGGGCCGCCTCCTCCTTAGACACAACTCAGTTTTAGATCGCCAAAATGAACTACTGACACTTGATATGATGTATTCCCAAGCGTCAGCCAATCTGCAGGTCACACAAGACTTGGACGCAGCGAGGGGGCGGATTTCCGAGCTTCAGAAGGAGGTTCAGAATCTGCAGGTCAAACAAGACTAGAACCCCTAGATGAGTGTCATTTATGGCACTCATTTGATGAGTATTTAGCTTGTTTTTACCTTATTTTCATAGCTTTCTTTCTTAATGAATGTTTAATTTTATATTTTTTCTGTCTATTTTACCTCTTCTCTCTTATTTTCTGTTTTTAAGGTTTTTCTAATATTTTCTCTTTTATTTGTTCTTTTTTATTATAGATTTAGTTTTCATTTTATTCTAGTTTATTTTCATATTCATTTCATTTTTCTTTCCTTTCTTTTATTTTATTTTGTTTTCTTTAATTCTTTTATTCTTTTCATTTTCATTTTAGTTCTAATAATTTTGTTTGTTGGTTTTTGTTTCCTTTTACTTCATTTTTCCCTTAAATTTATTTGTGTTTTGTAGGTGAATAATCAAGTCAAGTTGTGCATGTAGAAGGCTGCCCTTCTCACGGGTATCACCTCGAGTGCGCTGATGATAGGGATGCTCGGGAGCGCAGACGAGCTGCACCAACTTCTCAACCACTCAAGTGTTCCCCAGCTCCCGCAATCGACTCTTGGCAGCCCTCGCAACACCCAAAACAAAAAACAATCAGCCGACATATTCAAGCCACAAACCACCACCTTTCTCACCTCCAAAATCAGCCACCAATACAACCTTATATCAGCCGCACTCCTCCACTCACACACCTCCTTATTTCCCCAATTCACAAGCAACTATAACAACTCCTAGCAGCCTCGACATCACCTAAAATCTGCCACCAACAGCAGCTCGCTGCCTCCCCTGCTCCGCCGGCCTTGTAACCATTTTCTACCATATGTGGAACTCCTTCACCACAGTTCAGCACCCAAAGCAGCCCCTTGTCATGAGTTCATTTGCTTTGAATAAATTCACTCCTATTTTGCTAGCATATGAAAAATAATATTCAATGATAGATGAACTTTGCTTTCACTGTTTAATTTGGGTCATTTGCGGGTATTTACACCTACCTAACATCCGGTAATATCTTTCCTTGCTCTTTCTCTAATTGTTTATGCCTTGTTGGATATGTGTTGGTATTGTTGGATTGATCTCTTTGTTTTCCTCTCCCGTTGATTATTTGATTTATGATTTGAGCATGTTGTCTCATTCAAGCTTGGGGGAGAGTATTCTATCATGTTTGGTGGGATGTCAATTTACATATGCCATGCACATTTGTATATGCATTTCCATGTTCTTTATATTAAAAAACTCCAAAAAGATTTTTGTTTCTTTCAAGGAAAATTTGCATTGTGTTTTGTTTTGTTCATGCTTTGGACATAATACTTTTGTACTTGTATAGTTGAATGTTTTTCTTCTTTAATGGTATCGGTGTGCACGGTTTGAGAGTACATATATTTGGACGACTCTAGGATAGGACATGCTAAGGTAGTCATTTAGAAGTTTTTGGACCTTGAAGCCGGATTCTCTTATTTTTGAAAACTCGCAATTGTTCCCCTTTGATGAATTTGATGCTTTTAGTGAGTTTTTGCCACAACCTTGTGAGGTTTCTTAGTTTTCAAGGCTACTTCAATTACTTGTTTTAGCGGCATGGATCCTTGACTATTGCGGACCTTATCTTGAAAATTGACTCATAATTCTCAAACACGAGACCGAGCCTTCTAGGGAGGACAAAGGCATCTTTTCGGGGTGGTAATGTTTCTTTTCTAGGTTAATCTTCTTTATTTTTAGTTCTTGGGTTCACGTTTGCCTACTTGCTAACCATTTGAGTCTTTTCCACTAGTGGAAAAAATCTTATTTGTAACAAGCTATTCGTAACGGGCATATGATTTCCCGTTACAATTACATCATTTGTAACGGGCAAATTCAATGTCCGTTACGAATAACCAACTAGTCGTAACCAACAAGTCTTGCCCGTTACGAATAACCAACTAGTCGTAACCAACAAGTCATGCCCGTTACGAATAACCAACTAGTCGTAACCAACAAGTCTTGCCCGTTACGAATAACCAACTAGTCGTAACAGGCAAAACTTGCCCGATACAATACAATATGCGAAATTACGGAGTAGATGTTAAAAAACCCTAGCCGTCTAACTTCACTTTTCTTATTTTCCTCTCCTCCTCTCTCTCTCCTCAATTGACTCTTTCTCTCTCTTCTCATACGATTTAGCTTTCTCTCTCTTCTCATTCTTGCAATGGAAAGTTGGAAACTGAGCTATTTTGGGTCGAAATATGCTATAATGTCGTCTAGGAAGCTAGGGAATTGAATGTTGCCCCTCAAACTTCCAAGGTATTCTATATTTTTGGTGTTTTGATATTAAGTTTTTTAATTTTTGGTGTTTTTTTCGCTAGATCTGGAGCAAAATATTGTTTTTTTTTTCTTTCTTAATTCCCCCAAATCGATTTCTTAATTAAGGTTCCCTCATTTTTTGTTGAATTGCTTTTTCGTAAGCCCCAATTTGCAGATTTTCATCGGGGGGAAAAACCTTAATTTTTTTTATTAGAATTCTTTTTTTTTTTATTATTTTGAATTTGATTTTTCCAATTGTTTTATTTTTTTGATGAATCCTAAACCCTAATTTCAGTATAGTTAAATCGATTTTAAAGTTGAATAGAGATGAAGCTATCAAAGAGGATGAAGAGAAAAGTGTAGCCTTCAAAGCAGCAAAGTATGTAGCAGTATTTCTGGAAATACGAAAAGAATTAGTGTTGAGGGTGAGGAAGAAAAAATTACTAGATCTGGATTTTGTTCTATGAATTATATTTGTGATTGTTGAATTTTTAAGATCATAGATTATAAAATAATGGTACAATTTGATCTTTATAAGTGTTGGCCTTATTGATTTCAGCTTGTTTGTGACAGGTATGTATTTCTCGTGATTCTTTGTTCAAAATGTGTGCCGCTAGTGCCAAGAACAACTGAAGAAGGTTCGGAGGTAGAAGCATAAGTAAGTTTAATTTTTCTACTTTTTCTCGATATTTTTTTTTATCAATTTATATTTCTGGGTCTTATATGAACTTGCAAATATTCAAGTTTCTGGGCTTAATTATATTTTTGTGCTACAATTGAATCTTTTAGATAGTTTGGATTGGTTGATTGAATATGTTATTGTGAGATTTATGTTGATGAAATGAGAATTAAGTAGTATGCTGGATTACTTTGAGTTAGGTCGTAGTTAAAACTTGTTTTTATTGAAATTAAAGCTGATGGGTGAGATATACTGTCATTTTGGGGTATGTATTTGTCGTGCTGAAGCACTTGTATTATTGAAATACAATCAAAGCTGACTTTGCGATTTGATGAATTTTGTAGGTGCATGCTGATGGTGGTGTGCTGTTGGGTTGCATGTTTACAATGTAGGCTGAAAAGGTATTCAATCAAGATCAGTACTTCAAGAAAGCTGTCAAGTATGTGGGAGAGACAATGTATTACGCTTGTAGGTGCATGTTGCCTTGAAGGTAAAGGTATCTGTGATCATCTGTTTCACTTGTATTACGCTTATCATTGCTTCTTTTTTTATCTTTTGTTTTGATTTGATGAATTTGTTCAGTTTGATTTGAAATTGGATCTGGTCTATGATTTCTTTATATATGTTTTTGGATTGATTTCTATTTTGTTCTTCAATTTTTGATGTTTTCGGTTTAGATCGACGCTAGAATCCTGGTTCTGTTGTGTTTAGTTGCAAAATATTTGCTATTTTTTTGTTATTAAATCGTCATAAATGTTAGGTTATTAGATGTTTGTAGTTGTACTTTGTTGTGATTTGCTGCTGTTTTTAATGGAACTTTTTTTATAGTACTGTTTTTTTGCGATTTTTTTAAGCTTATTTTGCCTCAAATTGCTTACATCTATGCATCTGAATATCTACGCATTTTACGTTAGATTTTGGTTGATCTTATGCTTTAGATTCATTTTCAATGATTACAATAAGCCTATTAAATGGTTTTTTAAAATTTTGTATGCGAAGCTTCTTGCAGTTTGTTGATTTTGTTTTGTTTGCATTAGTGAATCGTATTTCAGATGCTAAAAACAGTATTCTGGAGTTGTATTCTGGAATCTTGAATTATGTAAGGTTTGAAGTTGTTCTGTGTTGATTTGGGATGATTTGAGGCCTCATTATTGCCACTTACACACATGTCCAGTGTTATTTGAATTTTCCTTATTATGCTAGCAGATTAACCACCGAGTCTTTTTAGTAAATCAGTGGCCCTTTCTTTAGGTTTTTGTTTTTGTGGGAGCAACGGGTGCCTATTCGTTATTCATGTTATTAGTAACTCAGTGTATCCCATTATGTATGGTTGTGAATATATGAATGAGTGTGGAGGAAAAAAGAAGCATTTTACTATTTTTTGGCTTTTTGGATTTTGAAATTGATAAGTACAGGCTTAATCTTGTGCCATCTTATAAAAATAGATGGGCCATGACGCTGAGACGGGGAGGTGGGGATTAGTAGCTAGGTGAACCAAGGGTATTTTTTTCTCATTATAGTGATTAGTGCTCATTTAATCATCAAATGAGTAAACCGGGTGTATATATATATATATAAGAGTTTAAAGGGACTGATTATTGATAATGCGGCTTGAATCACTGTCTGATTCTCATCCATGTCATGAAGTCTACATGCATGCTTTATATGGTCATTTCAAGCAATTTTAATTGATAGAATGATCTTTCCCATCACATTGTTTGTATTAGTTGGATATTGATCCTATTTAGAAGAGTAGATTCAGTTAATGTAAGTTCTAATCTTCTGCAAGTTTGATGTTATATATATGTTGCTTATCAGAATTAATTGAGTATGCTTCTATCCAACAGCATATGTGCATGAGGAATGGCAACTCCATGATGGACCTTTCAAATTCACATCTACGGCTCTACATGTTTACCTATTGAACATGAGATGGATGCTTTACTTTTGGGCATTGAGAATCTACCAGATGTTCAGAGTATTATTCATATAGTAGCTTTTGACTCATGTTAGGGAGTTGTTGTAAATTCAATTTGGACATTTGTTAAAGTTTGTATCTTTGATTTTATAATTAATTAAATTTTACATTTATTATTATTGAATATTGATAATAGTAATTAAAATTTGGCATCATAGAAGATTATCAGTTAGTAGTGTAGCAGGTATAACCTGCTGCATTTTTTTTTAATTTGGGTTCAATAGTATTTGTAACGGGCAGTCAAACTGTCCGTTACAAATAACGGGTTATTCGTAACGGGCAGTTTGACTGCCCGTTACGAATAAGATAGCCTATCCGTAACGGCAGCATACGTAACGCCCGCTGCCCGTTATGGATAGACTATTTTTGCCCGTTACGGATAGCTATTTTTCCACTAGTGTTCCCTTTTTTTCTAGCCACATTTTTAGATCTTTGAGCCTTTTGTTTCTTTTTGTTCCATTTTTGGTTTTTGTGAAGTTAATGGTCATATTCTTGGAGAGTGTGGTATATGAGTTTGGATATTGGTTCTTCTTTGTAAGCAAGCTTGTGCTTTGTATAATTTGTGAATAATGGCAAGTGTATAAAAGTAAATGCCTTCCATAGTTATAAAAGGCAAGGACATTCAATTGCAAAGTTGAAAAAGTCGTCCATAATTAAAAGAGGCGAGGACATTGAATAAAGTGAAAAGTTGAAAAGTTGAGAAAAAGCAAAAGATAATCTCTTAAAGCTTTGGCAAAAATTGAAAAAAAACAAAAGGTAAAAAATGAAAAGTTCAAAAACATTTTGATGTAAACGTTTTCTCCCTATTTTCAACATTGAGGACAATGCTTTGTTCAAGCTTGGGGGGAAGGGGAGCGTTCTTACGCTTTTTGTATATATGATGTTGGTTATAGCTTTGAATAAGCTTGGGGGTGTTAGTTCGTTTTTGTTTGGTGATTACTTGGTTATGCGGAGAAGGTTTGATCACCCTTTTTGCTTCACTAATTAGGAATACCACCAAATTCTAAATTTTAAGCCTACCCTCACCCTATTGCCCTTGCATTCAACCTTTGGGAAAGCCCTTTTGACCTAGTGGTTGAGTCATATACCAAGGGATAGCATTATGAGTTAAAGCGTAAGGAGAGGGGATGCAAAGTCAAGATGTCATGAAAACTTCAAATCTATTGTTTTTCTGGTTCCTTCGAGGAACTATAGAGATGCTAGCTAAAAGAAGATTTGAATCCAATAAGAAAAATGTGCTAAAATTGATTTTAGATGAAAGTGAATAGCGTTTTGGTAGTTCTCTATACTTAGCATGTCCTATGTTTCAATCAACCTTAGATATCTTGAAACGTGTATTCCCTTACTTTGTTTAGAAAGATTTGTTTTCATTTATACTTGTGCATTTGCAAAAGTCCATTCATGAAAATTTGTGATATTTTCTTTTCATTTTTCTTCTTTTTCGTGCTTTGCCTTATTTTTTTGGTTTGTGAGAGGTATCGGCCAATCTCTTAGTAAACCCTTACGAGAGCATTACTCGCCCTCTAGGGCAATCTAGGGGTTTAAATGACTTGTCTTTAGTTGCTAAAATTGACTGTGATTCCTACGAAAGTGAGTTAGTGTATATTGGTCTCTTCTCTTTTTTTTGTTTGTTTGAATAAGCTCATCATTTCTCCCTTGGTTTTGTTTCGCTCGAGAACGAGCAAAAGATAATCTTGGGGGCATTTTGACGAGTGTCATTTATGGCACTCATTTAATGAGTACTTAGCTTGTTTTTACCTTATTTTCATATATTTCTTTCTTAATAAATGTTTAGTTTTATGTTTATTCTCTCTATTTAAAATGTTATGTCTTATTTTATGTTTTTAAGGTTTCTCTAATATTTTCTCTTTTATTTATTCTCTTTTTGTTGTTTTAGTTGCCTTTCTTTTATTATAGATTTTATATATTTAGTTTTCATTTATTCTAGTTTATTTTCATATTCATTTCATTTATCTTTCCTTTATTTTATTTTATTTTTCTTTCTTTTATTCTTTTCATTTTCATTTTAGTTCTATTAATTTTGTTTGTTGGTTTTTGTTTCCTTTTACTTCATTTTCCCCTTCGTTTTATTTGTGTTTTGTAGGTGAATAATCAAGTCAAATTGCGCATTTAGAAGGCTGCCATTCTCTCGGGCATCACCTCGAGTGCACCGATGATAGGGATGCTCGGGAGCACAGATGAGCCGCACCAACTTCTCAACCACTCAAGTGTTCCCTGCTCCCGCAATCGACTCTTGGCAGCCCTTGCAACACACAAAAAAAACACCAAACAACAACCATTTTTACGCCACAAACCACCACCTTTCTCACCTCCAAAATAAGCCACTAACGCAACCTTATATCAGCCGCACTCCTCCATTCACACACTTCCTTATTTCCCCAATTCACCAACAACTACAACAACTCCTAGTAGCATTGGCATCACCAAAATTATGCCACCAACAGTAGCTCGCTGCCTCCTCTGCTCCGCCAGCCTTGCCACAACTGCTCGGTGCCACAGTTCAGCACCCAAAGCAGCCCCTTGTCACGAGTCATCTCCCTTGCCAACTGATTAGGGGATTTTGCTCCCACCAATCGGAATGCGCCACGTGGGCCAATCAGGTCCTGCCAAGTGTTCCCTAGTTGGACCTCTCAGGGCTTGCCACGTGGCACACGCTTATTCGTCCGCCTTGGACCTATTATGTCATGACACGTGGCATACTCCATGCCTAATGGAGAAGTTGGCCACCTAGGCCCAACTTCCAAGGGAAGCCCAATCAGCCCAAGGTTAACCTAAACCTAGATTGACACTTTTCCCGAGGTTATAAATACCTCCCTTAATCCTCATTAAGGGAGATTACGCAGATTACACACATTAAACTCTCTCACCTAGAGAGACCCAATCACTTTAATTTCCGCATTAATTACTCCTTAATCAAGTACTAACTTGACCGTCGGAGGCGGATCTCCAATCATCCGGAGCATCCGTTTGTTTTGCAGGTACAGGCGTCCGGTTCCAGTCTCGGAATTGTAACTCTCCCGCAGGACATCAGAAAACCCCGAAACATTTTGGCGCCGTCTGTAGGGAGAGTACTTCTGAGATGGCATCCACGTTTGTACCGGATCCTGAAGAGAGACGTCCCCTGGACGACCCTCTAGTTCAGTCGGACCACGATACTGAGAATGAATTTGAAGTTGAAGCTCACACAGCTTCAGACGGGACCCTAAGGGCCCGACGTACCCGTCATACCGAAAGGAGGGAACGGGAACATCTTCAAACTGGACGCGAGCCAGCAGGCGCACCGCCTGTTCGGCAGTAGCCGACTGATGGGTCTGCTCCCATCACAAGGAACGAACTCATGACCTTCATGAGGGACTTCAAGGGAGAAATTCAAGAGTTGATCAACAAGAAGCCGCCTGCTCTGGACAAGGAGCAGTCGACTAAGAAACCCTCCACTTCACGGAAGAGGAAGCCAGTTCAAGGGCGAGAGGCGACCCCTCATCCTAAATCTAGGAAGTGGGAGCCACCTGCCCTTGATTTCAGAAAATACCGTTTTTCTACTCCAGGAAATAGGAAACCTGTTCGTCATATTCAGGCGGACGGGTCGAGGAAAACATACACAGACGCTCGGCTACTGCTAGAACAGAAGAAGAGTGACCGATTGTCAAAGTCGGCCTCTACTTCAAACTTCCAAGACAGTCTGCGAAATACCTCGATGAGGCATACTCAGTCGTATCATGAGAGTCAGTCAGGCGGCACCTCCCGTCAGTCCGGCTTTCATAGCGACCAGGCGGTACCAAACTTACCGTTTGTACCGCAACAACAATATTTTTTACAGCCACTGACGAGCGTTAAATCGGTCGCTACAATCTAACTCTCAATCAAACAATACTTATACGAACACCCTATAACCAAGTACAATGGCAAATAAAGGTTCGGTCCACGAGGAACGAGAGTAATTGCAAATCAATCTTAAACCTAAGCTAGTTCGAAATCAATGGAAAATGGTGCTCTAAAATAATACTAATAAGATGGAATAAATCAATAAACTAAGACACTAGGGAGAACGGGAATCCGCCTAACCATTGGCAACTAAGCAACAAGGAATCACAGAGACAAACGGGATATGCAAAGACTATAAGTCTGATCAATATCATGTGATAGGAAGACAACGGGCAATACTAAGCTTGGATTTCTCATGCACTTAACATTACTCGATACATAATCAAACCACATTCAATAATGAAATACTCAATTCACAATCTCTTGTTCAAATCAAGGATATCATGCAATCAAATTCAAGATTCTAGGTTAGCTACTCCTATTATAATGAATTAACATGCAATCGCGTATAATCAATTTAATCACAATCCGTTTATCAAAATCAATCCTCAATTACATAGGTTACCTAGGCCGGGTTTCATCCCGAAACCCTAGCTAGGAGACTACTCAAACATATTCATAATCAAAGCAATAACGAATTCCAAAAGCATAATAGATATAAACATGAATTCTGATTAAGGAATAATAAAGCTTGATTAATAAACAAGAATGAATAATACCAATTGTATTGATGCGAATCAATGGAAAAGTTCAGAACTTTGATATCCGTCGTCAATGAATAATACAAAGAATCTTCGCAAATCTTGCTTCAAATCAATCCAAGAAAACTAAAATCTCTAGAAATATCTCTAAGAAAACTAATGAATCTCTAATACTAAGAACGTTCTCCAATAACTCTCTACAAAGGCTCTCAAAACTATCTCTAAAAAACTGTCTCTGGAATCCTCTTAAAGTCGGGCCTTCTATACGTCTTCTAATTCGGAGAAGTCAAGCGCGCAGTTAACCCTGGATCAGCACGGCCGTGCTGAATTTGGCACGGCCGTGCTAGCTTGTCAGTAGGTAAACCGAATTTCTTCTTCAATTTGGCACGGCCGTGCTATATATGGCACGGCCGTGCAGCTTCCTGGCACGGCCGTGCTAAAAATGACACGGCCGTGCTGAATATGCTCTAGCACGGGGCTCATATTGAAGCTGACACGGGCACGGGTAACATCTGGCACGGCCGTGCTAATGGCCTGCACGGCCGTGCGGGTGCGTGGATACTGACACGGCCGTGCT